GTTTCAGACTGCAGACATTCCCAGCCCTACACAGAGATGCCTGGGATTGAACCTGGGACCTTCTGCATGCAGAGCACATGTCCTTCCATTGAGTTACCGACCTTCCCGAACATTGATAGGCCTGATAATTGAGATTTGTTTGGACGGCAACCAATACTTGAATCCACAGAGATTGTTTTTTACTCAGAACTGAAGAAAACACATGGTTGCTTATTGTGTCACAGTTATACCCCAAATGCTTCTTATTTCTTCCTGGACGTACCCTATTGTATCACACAGAAACTCAGGACAACACTAAAGAGGGCGCAAGTGTGGACACTGCAGTTAATTTGAAAATCAATATAGCCTCTTCCCCTAATCCAGATTGTTAGAACTGAATACAGTGGTACCTCGGGTTAAGTACTTAATTCATTCCGGAGATCTGTTCTTAACCTGAAACTGTTCTTAACCTGAAGCACCACTTTAGCTAATGGGGCCTCCTGCTGCCACTGCGCCGCTGGAGTATGATTTCTGTTCTCATCCTGAAGCAAAGTTCTTAACCCGAGGTACTATTTCTGGGTTAGCGGAGTCTATAACCTGAAATGTATGTAACCTGAAGCATATGTAACCCGAGGTACCACTGTAGTAGGAAGTTACTGCTGACAGTAGGAAATAAACGGCCTCGGCCCAGTATACCTGAAGGAGCGTCTCCACCCCCATCGTTCTACCCGGACGCTGAGGTCCAGCGCCGAGGGCCTTCTGGCAGTTCCCTCGCTGCAAGAAGCCAAGTTACAGGGAACCAGGCAGAGGACCTTCTTGGCAGCGGAATGCCCTCCCAGCAGATGTCAAAAAGAAAAACAACTACCAGACTTTTAGAAGACATCTGAAGGAAGCCCTGTTTAGGGAAGCTTTTAATGTTTGATGCATTACTGTATTTTAATATTTTGTTGGAAGCTGCCCAGAGTGGCTGGGGAAACCCAGCCAGATGGGCGGGGTATAAATAATGAATCATTATCATCATTATTATCATCATTATTATGACAAGTAGTGCAGCAGCCACACACAAACATAACATAAAGCACCTGCCGTTTTAACCAACAATGCTTCCAAATTGTAAGGGAAAGTGATATTTATAGAGACAGTAGAAGCTATAACTCCCATCTGACTTCACTCCCCAGATTGAGAGCTTCCTGGTTCTTTGATTGACAGCAATGTAGGCACTGCCCCACCAAACTAAGTCTGTTCTCAGTCCCCCTTCTCACACACCTGCCTCCCTTCCTACTTGCAACCAGCCCCCCCGGGGGGGCACTGCCATTCTGCTTCTTCTACCTTAGTCTCAGCATTGTCCTTGTAGAACTCAGCCAGAAGGAGGATGGAGAGTAAACAGAGAGAATTGGCTCTGCAAGTCATCAGCTGTGGCCCCACCTATTGTTGGGCTCCGTGCCTCCTTCCCCACCAGCCCCAATGGACACCAGCCACCAATGGCTGAGAGGAGGTGGCAGACTGGAATGTACCACTTGGGACTTCAGGTAAAGGGATACACTGCTTTTGAATTAGCAATCAATAGTGGCATTCCTCATTTCTGTATTCCAAACTGGTACAAACCGTTCTGCTATCTCATTCTGTCCCATGTGAAACTGCTTCCTGCTTGTAGAAAAACAGCATATCGGAGAAAAGGTTCTAATTCAGCATTTTGCCTGCTTTACTGGTTTCACTGACTGCTCTCCTTCCCCTTTTTCTTGTCACAGCTTACACCCTGGGAGAGGACACATGTCCAGGCAGCAACAGCAGAAAATGAAGAGAAGCACAACGAGGGAAGCTTTGGGGCTTGGTGGTGTAGGCCCCCTTCTGGTGTAGGGGCAGGTTCCCTACAAAGCTGACTCCCAATGCCAGCCCTACCAACACATCTCCTGAACATAGTAGTGCTCTGTGCATCTTTTGGACTCCAAGGCCCATCATCTCTGATGGGAGCAGTAGTCCAAGACATCTGGAGGCACCACACTGAAGAACGCTAGTACATCATGCCACAAAAAGTCCACTGTGGCAAGATAGCCTCCATTTGGAAATTATATACATATGAAACAACCAAGTATTTAAAAGGAAAATGCCATTACATGTGGCTTAAGACTTGAGCAAAGGGGAAAGAAATGTTATACATTTGTACCTTCAAAGTCAAATGGAATCTGTTCCAGAAGTCTGTTCGACTTCTAAACATTCAGAAACGAAACCTGCAGCAAATTGGAAGCTGCGGAATCTGTGCCGGAAGTTCGGCTTCTGAAAATCGTTCAAAAACTGGAACGCTCACTTCCGAGTTTCGATTGTACAGGAGCTGATTTGTTCAGGAGCCAAGGCATTTGACATCCAAGGTACAGCTAATCATATATAATCATATATACACTTTCCTGGGAGTAACTTCCGCTTAGTTCAATGGTACTTCCTTCTGAGTAGACATGTATAGGATTGTACTGCATGTTAGTGCTTTGTATCTGTACTTTTGTTCAATATGGGGGTGGAATCCATTTTCAAAAAGGACACCTGAAATTGGTTTCTTCATCAACAACAGAGAGAAAGATTAAAGTGGACATTCTAAGTACATATTATTAATCACTGCCCAAATGTATATTAACCAATAATGTTCCTTTTACCTGGAACAATAATTAGGTTAGGGAGAAATAACAAATTGACTCAGGAGCTGGGACGCGTCCAGGACTGCCCCTGCAGGAGATCAGGACGATGTGGGGATGTGCAAAGCTGGAATATGAAATAACATGTGGTCAGACCTGTCCCAGGCTTGTGCAATTGTTGCCAAGATGAAGTGAAATCATTATTTTTATTTATTACACTTGTATCCAGGATGGAAGGATTTAAATCAAGGCCATTTTAATCCCTGATTTAAATAACAAAGTGGGGGGAAAGTCTGGTTTAAATCCTTAATTTATGTCATCATCATTACCCCCATTTTGAAATATATTTCCTGGACAAGCTTTCAAACTAACTGGTTGCTGTGATTAATAATTAAAGCAAATTGTTTTGCAGCTCGGCGAAGCCTTTGTACAACCTAGGAACATGATCCAAAGCCTTCGCCCAGGCAGCCCTTGAGTCCTTTTGTACTGTAGAATTGCATCTGCTTGGAGAAAAGCTGTGCTCTCAGTGGGACTTACTTCCTGGTCAATGTGCGCCATAATAGGCTGTAAGTGCCCAGAGCTTTCCAGAGCGAAGTACAAGCAACAGAGCCAAATCAAATCATAGCACCATAGAGTTGTAGAGTTGGAAGGGACCCCGCAGGGCATCTAGTCCAACTCTTCACAATGTAGGAATCTCAGTACACACAGTCCCATAGTATTTCTTCATGAGATAGGAAGTAAATGTCTCAACTATTTATCGCCAGGCCAGTTGGGCACAGGGCACCATTGGAAATATGGTGACCATCTGGCATGCTATCCAGAAAGAAAGGCTTTAGGAAGGGCACCACTTTAATGGGAATGAAAAAGGGGGGAGGTTCAGCTTGCTGTGGTGGCTCCATTTAGGACAAATGTGTCCCATGGGGGCTGGGTTTGCATGGAAGAATTTTGAATAGAAAGAATTTTAACAAGGATTATCCACATACACAGGTAAGGAAACCGTGTTCTGCAAGTCTGAACTTTGTCTGCCCCATAAACTCTTCTGGCATTCTCTCTCCCTCTCTCTTTTGGTATGTATATCTCTGTATGCAGATATGTAGGTAGGTAGATTAATAGATACACAGCTACACATGCACATACTGTGTGTAACACACCCTGCACATATACTGTATATAATAAATTTTTTAAATGCTAACAAGATGCAATCACAGAACATATGTATGTTGTACTTGTTTTAGGAATGTAATTCTATTATTGATTTTATGCTGCCCAGTGTCATTACCATTCATATAGGGACACAGGCGGTGCTGTGGTCTAAACCACTGAGCCTCTTGGGCTTGCCGATCAGAAGGTCAGTGGTTTGAATTCCTGCAATGGAGTGAACTCCCATTGCTCTGTCCCAGCTCCTGCCAACCTTGCAGTTTGAAAGCATGCCAGTGAAAGTAGATAAATAGGTACCACTGTGACAGGAAGGTAAATGGCGTTTCTGTGCGCTCTGGTTTCCGTCACGGTGTCCCGTTGCGCCAGAAGCGGTTTAGTCATGCTGGCCACATGACCCGGAAAGCTGTTTGTGGACAAACACCAGCTCCCTCGGCCTGAAAGCGAGATGAGCGCTGTAACCCCATAGTCGCCTTTGACTGGACTTAACTGTCCAGGGTCCCTTTACCTTTGCCTTTTACCATTCATATATTGAACACCTGAGTGGCATTACCACATATCTTACCACATTGCCATTCTAAGAGATTGAGGGAGGTGTTCTTGGTGAGTTCCAGCACCTCTTTTTCTAGACAAATTGCACTGAGTCATAATCTACCCATACACACTTACTATGTATACATTTGTTTTCCCACCAGTTAGGTTCACCTGTTGGAGAGGCCATTAGGATTCCCCTGTGCTCTGTGGAAGGCTTGCAAAGTGCTGAAAGTCAACAACCTCTTTCTGTTTCAGGGTCTGGGAGGCTGCTGCCTTTGGGCTGCCTTTCCATTTTAAGTGCATTGATTCCCTTCCAAGGTCAGCTTCAGATATTCAATTATTGCATCTTGAGTAATATAAAACATGTATTACGTGCATGTGCATGAGCACACATGCATCACACACACACTTACTTCCAGTGGCTATTAAAACAAAATCCTTTGAGTCTGTGGCAGCGGCAGGAGCAGCTACAAGCAGCACCTCCTGTTACAGGGGATCTCGTTTCATGGGCCAAAGCAAGAAGTCACGAACAGTTCAGTAATTCAGAAATAATCTCCTCCGTAAAGAAGAGACCCTGCACTGGCTCCCCTGGGGGTTTCCCCTTTCCTGGCCCAAACAGCTGTGTTGGTATTTAGACATAGGATACCAGCTCAGCTTCAAGTTCCAGCACAGCCTCGACTCACATCCTGCAGGCTTTAAAGTTCCCAGATGGTCTGCACAGGGCTCAGCCAGCAAGCAAGTGCTTCTATCTGGTGTATAATGCTTTGGAATGCATGTGTGTCATGGGGAAAGTTGGAAGGAAAAGAAGAAGAAGAAGAAGAAGAAGAAGAAGAAGAAGAAGAAGAAGAAGAAGAAGAAGAAGAAGATTCCCAGGACATTTCCTTTCTCATCTCTTCCCTACTCTCAGACAGAAACAACCCTATCCTTGACCTGAGTTAGTTGCCTTACATAGTAAAGGATCAACCAATTTGCCCCAGAATGCACCTGAGCAGAACCACATGGTCCATTGGAAAGGACCAAAGCTACAGGAAAGCCACAAGGTAGATGCTGGAAACGGTTCCTGTCCTGGCTTCTCTCCATGCCCATCCAGCTGCTTTTGGACCCATAGTCCTGGGCCTGTCCATTCAACATGCACAATATCACTCCCAATTAGGAACAGGGAGAAATTCTATTCAGTTGGCATCTGAATGTCATTCTAATCCATTTGCACTTCCCAAACCAAAATACAAACCAAAATGCACCTATCCTCCAAAAATCACATTTGTCCAAATTTCACAATGCAGTTCTCCACACACACCCCACACCCCAAAAAAGATGGGGAAAGTAGGTATAAATAATGCATATATTAGTGAAGATATCGTACAGAAATGCACTATATGATAAAAAGTGTCTTGCAAAAATAAGGCAAGATTGCTTGCAAAAATGGGTCTGTCAGAGAAATGTGGCACTAAAATGCTGATGAATTTCCATGAGGACTTTTTAGCTGCTCTCTTGAAAATGGATCCAGCCCACATTGCCATTTCATGTTCAGTATCATGCCAGTAATTCTAGCTCCAGTTCTCTTAATGTCCACTTTAATGACCATTATAAAGATTTGGATTGGACTGGAAAGTCCACTTTTCAGATTGACAACTTCTACCTCCAATCAGAATACTGTCTTTCATCCCTATTCTGTTTGTGTCCTACATTCGTCATTTGCTTTTTCAATTGATCATTTTTTTTGGGGGGGGGATCTTTGAAGCCCAGAAAGGTGTCAAAGTTGCAATACATGACAATCTTGTTCTACCTATCTGTTATCCCTAAACACTCAGCATTGGGGGGATAATATCCCCTGGAGATGTTCCATCTCATTTCCTTGGAAAAGACCACACTGACTTAAACATTCCCTGGAAAAAGCAAATGAGAGACCAAGGCAAATGCATGACATTGAAGGTTCAGAAATGCCAAGTTCAGTAGCATGCATAAAAACCATCTTAACCTTCCAGGTCATGAGATCAGCAGCTGGAAGTGGAAAATCACCACCAATAAATTGTAATGGAGTGGAGTGATGAATGCTACTTAGAATGAGTGGCTTTCAGAAGAGTATCAGCAGCTGCTTAAAAGGCAAGGCAACACTGAACAGAAAATGCCCATGTATTTACTATCAGGATGCTCTGAATGCACAACTGTCCATCTCTTTTTTCTATTAAACTTCAATCTGTCTCCATTTTTCTCCTCCTAGTGAAGTTGCAGGATGAGGGGGATCGTATTGGAATAATCAGCAGAATAAAGAGATGATGAACCTGGGATTTTGATGGACACAACTGGAGCTCAGTGAGAAAGATATCACCCCAAAAGAGGCCTCCAAAACTTGCAACTGATCCATCAAGCTGAGTGTAGCCCACCAACTGCCTATGATGATCCACAGTAAGGACTTAACATACCTCCTGTTTTCTGTCTGCTTGGGACTCAGAAAACAAGGGGAGTTGTCAAGCACCTGTAGGACACAGGAGCTGGGCTGCATTAAACTTCATGGGTCACAAGCTGGGCAGCCGATGGTTGCAGCTGCTTTTATATACTGCCCTTCCTCCCATTTGAGCCTGAGGCTGCTAACATCCATCCCAATATGCATAAAACAATAATTAAAATAAGCATGAACAACAGAATGCAATGTAGCAGACATTAGAGAGTATACAGGTCAACTCCAGCTATGTACCAAAAACCCAAAGAAATAAGTATATTTAGAGTTGTTGCCTGGATGATAACATGGCGGAGGATGGGGGTGGGTAGCCAAATCTCCACAGGGAGGGAATTATTTGTGTTACTCAGAAGTCACCTAATGCTGTTATCTGGTGATGGGTCTGCAGGTAGGAACAGAACCACAGCAACATAGTGCTTCCAACTCAAAACCCACAGAGTCATTCCTGAAGGATAAAATCTTCAATGGGTTCAAAAACGATGGAGAGATCAAGGAGAATCTAGAGGGCAGCACTTGCCAGCCCTAACCCTCTCCCAATAAAGGTCATCAATCAGGATGTCCAAGGATGTTCCTGTACCATACTCAGGAATGTCCTGCTGATGGATCACCTTTCCCACCATGATGTGAGGTAAAGAGGAAAACCAGAAATGCAGAAGGTGGGAGACAGCAATGGGTCCACCTTTAAGTTTTTGTGGCACTCTCAGCAAACACAGGGGAGGGGTTTTGCTCAGAAAACCATCCATCACCTTTCTGTGGGAAGGGTCATAACCCAATGGTAGACCCTCTGCTTTGCATGTAAGTTCAGTCTCTGGCATCTCTAGGTAGGATTGTCCCCCAATTTGATACCCATACCCTGTATGACCACTGTTAGTCAATGGGGACAATACCAGAAATGGTATGAGGCTGCATCCTACAGTCCTGTGGGTTTTTTTGTTGACCACAGATCCTGTGATTGGTAGTTTTGGTTTCTCCTGGCTGAATAAATCCAGATGAATTAAAACCACAAATCCCAGAATTCATGGTAGTACCAGAGGTTTCTGAGCAAACTCGGGAGATCTCCCTTTTGTGGTGGGGAAAGCCAGGATGAAAATGTTATTCAACAGGGGTGAAAGGAGCTTGGGTAAGTCCAAAAGCTGCTGCAGGGAAATAACTAATTGGGAGACTAATTAAAATGTCACAAAATAGGGAGGGAGCTTTTGATCTCCTTAAGTGATGCTGAGTAGACAGCTGTGTGAGAAAACGTCTGATATTCCATGCTGTAATCCAGTTCATCTCCAGCTTCAGTCACACGAGATTGTCAGTAAAACGAAGAAACACACGGTAAAGATTGAAAACAGATTGTATGACCCCATGGGTCTTTTTGAACTATATGAAATTCTTCATGACCTGTAGTCAACTTTGGGGGTCAAATTCTGTAGCAGTGTTTGTGGGTCTTTCCGTTTTGCAGTCATTCTTTGCTGCTACCTGTGACTGCAGCTACAGTAGTAAGAGGAGCATTCTTTCTTTCCCAGTGGCAATTCTCTTTTCCCCAAACTACCTGTAGACACAGCAGCATCATTCAAGGTTGATTGACAGGTGCTTCATTCCTTCTTGGGGGTGCCTAGTTAGTGACTGGCAAACAAATATGCTGGACTAGGTGACTCTTTTGTCTGACCAAGTCTGTTCTTCTTATATTCTTAGGCTCCTTAGAGCAAAGTTCTTGGTGCAGAAGCTCTTAGGATGAGCAATTCCATGGTTGAGAACCACTTGAGGGCCCACACTCCAGCAGGGGAACAATCTAAAAGAGCCACCAGGACCCGCTGCTGTGAGGATTTAGACTTGCTGGAGAAATTCAGGTCAATGGAGGCTGCCTTGACCGTTGGCCCTCCAAAACAGTGGATGAGAGCATTGCACAATCTGCATATTGATAACTTTGTGAGCAATCTTAAGGACAGAAAAAGAATTGTTTTAAGTCAGCAGTGGGGAAGGTTTGGCCCACTGGATGTTGCTGAACTGCAACTCCCACCAGCAAGGGCTGCTGGGAGTTGTAGTTCTGCAACATCTGGAGGGTCAAACAGTCTCCACATCTGTTTTAAGCTGATGTGAAATCAATTTCTGTCTCATCCTTAGGGCACGTCCACACCATATGTTTAAAGTCCTCTTATACCACTTTAACAGCCATGAATTCCTCTGAAGAACCATGGGAAGGAAAATTTGTTAAGGGTGCTGGGAGCAGTAGTTCTGTGATGGGTCTCCTAACTCCCAGCACCTTTAGCAAACCACAGTTCCCATGATTATTTGAGGGAAGCAACGTCAGTTTAAAGTGGTATGATACTGCTTTAAATGTATAGTGTGGATGTGACCATCATCAAATTTCAAGCAACAGCCTGTAAGCTTAATGTCTGTGAGCCTCAAGAGAAAAGGAAATGGGGAGAAAAGGGAGAAGGAACTGTTTTCTTTTTTTCCTTTTTCCTTCTTCCTTTCATCTTCGCCCACCAGTAAATAAAGGGGATAAGTGGAGGGTTGACTCAAGCACTTCACTTCCCCAAGACCCTCCCTTTCTCCTGCTTTCATCTGCAACCACCAAAACCCAAATGCAAGACACATGATCTGGGACAAAGGGAATCTATGATTCCCCAACGGCCTGCAAGTCAGCAGGGCAGGCTGCCCTTGCTTCAAAGCCATCGAGCTGTGAATGTCTTTAACATGTGACACTGCTTAAATTCTAAATGTTCCAGAATTTTGGCCTCTAGGCCATCATGAAACGTCAAAGTGAACAACAGCATCTGGAGCTAGGGACTGGGAAAGTGGGGCAGGGCTCACTTTTCATGCCGCCCTAATTACTTTCGAAATGCGTCCTGTCGAAATCAAGTCGTATAAGGAAGGATAGAAAGAACTGGGTATGTTCACCTGGAAGAAAAGAGGATTAAGGGGAGACATAAGAGAGGCTATTCCAGATGTGAAGGGCTGGCCAGGCGGAAGATGGAATAAAACTTGTCCGCTGTTGGTCCAAGGGGGCAGGACTGCAGCCAAATGAGTGGAAATAGCAGGGAAGCAGATTTTGGGCATCTGAATTTATTAGGCATCTGCTGTTGTTTTTCAATGCTGCTGCTTGAATTGTTGCTGTTTTTGTCAAATGTTTGGTATTTTAGGCTACATAAGGCAGTCCTATGCCTGCTTACATGAGATGAAGCCCCATTGGAATCATCAGGACTTACATCTGAGAAATCAAGTATAGACTCAGGCTGGAGAAGTCTCCAACAATCATGTTAAGGCTTTTGGCAAAGGAAACACTGTCAGGAAAGGTTTATCCAACATTGCTCATGAGCTGTATTGATGTTCCTATCTCCGTGAATTGATTGTATTTGCTATTTTACCATATTGCATTTAGCCTCCTTATATAACAGTCATATTCACTTCCAGTTGAACTATTTATGTAACAGCTATCTCCATACCGTGAAAGTGAGTTTTCAAAAACAATGGTATGAGCTCTAGATGTTGT